TGTTTTTAAAAAATATATATTTATTGATTTCAGAGAGGAAGGGAGAGAGAGAGATAGAAACATCAATGATGAGAGAGAATCATTGCTCGGCTGCCTCCTGCACGCCCCCTACCGGGGATGGAGCCTGCAACCCCGGGCATGCACCCTGACCAGGAATCTTCCCGGTTCATAGCTTGATGCTCAACCGCTGAGCACCACCGGATGAGCAGGAGTGTATATGTAAGTTTAACATAAAGGACGGTGGGTGCTTTTCAGTGTATAATTAGAGGGTGAGTGGGTTGCATGTGCAAGTTCAGCCTAGCCCCCAATGCCTGGCCACTCTCAGTAAGAGCCCTGGCTCTTTGATTGGTTCCATTAAAGCAGCCTTCGGGCCTCTCCGGGGGCAACCCGAGGAAAGGCCGTGCCCTCTAAAATGTGTGTGACTAACGAACCCGCTAGCACTGCCTGGTGGAACCTCGGTGCTTCTCAGAACAGGGGACCTCTCCCAGCACTCCTCTGGGATGTGCAGGTCCTGGGGAGAAGCCCCTCCTCTCGCCATGTACTTGGAACTCTGCTGACAGTGAGAAGAGATAAAACCCTCAGGCTCCCCGGATCTGTTCCCTCCCACGCCTCCACACTGGGTCTAGGCACAGCAATCATTACTTTGTCATCAGAGGAAAGACCTGTGCTTAGTTTCACCTTCAGAACTAGGAAGTTTGGCAAAAACAGGCTCTTGCCTAGGCCATGAGCTTTCCCCTGGGGCACCTGGGTCCTTCCCAGGAGGGCTGGGTTGTTGGAGCTTCCTCAGCCAAGTGAGGAGCTCCCACTCTGAAATTTCCCTTTGAGATTCCGTATCTTTGAGAGAGATCCTCCTGCACCCGGTAAGTCTATATTTTTCTTTCTCCTTATCTTTATTTTAAAAGCAGCTCGTAGCTAGTATTATCCTCAACTACCCAGTAGATCCACCTGCTGGGGCTCATTTGCTCTCTGTATTGATCACAGCTTTGCCTCCTCTCCAAGACCAGGCCAGCCAATAGGACAGACAGAATACAGCGTATTGCATGGCGGGGTTTGTTTGTGTGGGACGGGCAGGTGGGGAGGGCGCTAATCTTCACCTAGGCAGCGGGAACTTTGAGGAGGCAGCACGGAGTGACTCAGCACTTCATGGCCTGCCCTAGAAATGCTGAAGGGAATCTGAAGGCTGTTAGGTTGCTGAGTCACCAGCATTAGGACTTTCCAATGAAGAGGGAGAAGGAAGACCCTGATGAGGCGCAGAGTTGGCTCCAAGGTAAGAGAGTTAAAATACATGTGGCCTTTGTTTTGTGTTTAGTTGTGGATGCTTTTGAACCAGCCAGGGTTACTGCATGGATGGGTGTGGAGGGTGATGTATTCTAGGTTCTTCCACAGGGGAGGCCAGGACAAGAGCAACGTAGCGGGGCTTGGGAGAGCTACAGTCTTTTCAAGATCTTCCCATCTAACCTTGGTAATCCCAAATCCCAGCAAAGAATTGGA